ACCACTAGTTTTTCAAGCACTATACAATTTAACCAATCCTTTTACATCACTAATGTATTGTACATGCCTGATATTGCTTTCAACCTCATATTTGTTCCCAAACTGACTAAAACCCTTCATTGCCAACTTATTTTTGATGATGTTGATTGTGTTATACATGATTCATGCTCCAAGAAAATGGTTGGCACAACTCAATTGCACGGTGGATTGTATCTCATGACCTTCCCACCAGTTACCCTACACAACAATCCATCTCATCATTACATCAACTCAACTCTCACTTGTTCTATAGATAAATCCCCCAATTGTAGCCTATGGAATTTTATACTTAGCCATGCTTTACATGTCAAGCTACTTGAGATCAATAAAATCTTTCCTTTTATCAAACCTGTCAATCAAAATATTCCTTGTGGCGTGTGTTTTTATGCTAAACAAAAGAGATTGCCATTTCCCCTTAGCTCTCATGTCTCTCATTCAGTGTTTGATTTACTGCATATGGATATATATGGCCCCTTGGCCTTTCCACCCATGATGGGATATAGGTATTTTTTAACCATTGTAGACGATAATAGCATATTCACTTGGTTCTTTCTCATGAGACTGAAACCTGAGATAACATCCCTCATTAAATCATTTGTAACAATGGTCAAAACCCAATTCAACTGCCACATTAAATGCATTAGATCTGATAATGACAATGAATTCATTCTTACTAAATTTTACAAACACTTTGGCATCATTCATCAAACATATTATGTTGGTACTCCTCAATAAAATGGCATTGTTGAAAGGAAGCACCAATACATTATAGGCATCACTCGACCCTTCTTATTCCAAGCTCACTTACCAACTATTTTTTAGGCTCATGTTATTGGCCATGTTGTACACATTATAAATAGATTACCTACATTTTCCTTGAAGCACAAGTCATCCTACCGAATCCTCGACAACAAACTTCCTGACATGTCCAATTTAAATGTTTTTGGATCCCTATGTTATGAAGCCACTTTGAAAGCCAACGGAAAGAAGTTGGACTCTAGGTCTCGAAAGTGCATATACTTGGGTTAGAAACCTGGTGTAAAAGGACGCGTTTTATTTTAGTTAAAGTGCAAGGAACTATTTTTGTCAAAGATGTTATATTCTTCGAGCTCTAATGTCTTTACAAACATGATTCTCCTCCTATCCAAGTTACCTATCCCAACCCTCCCTTACATTACTCTACCAGTTTAGATGAATTCTTTGATCATGCCTCTATGCCAACTTTTCCTAGCCATCCTTCACATACTCCTACCACCATTCCTCCTTCATTATCTCATCAAATAAGATATAATTCACCTCAAACATTACTTACTCCCAACACTAGTAACATACTTTCACCTTCATCTGATGTAAATACCACTCCTATACATGCTCCAGCCCATATGCCTGCCAGAAAATCTAGCAAACTTGTGCAACCTTCAACATATCTAAAAAATTACCACTGCAACCTACTTTCTAATACAATCCATAATTCATATTCAGCTGCTTCCACATCATCTTCCACCTATAAGTATCTTATTTACTCATTCCTTTCTTATGATCTCTTATCTCCTACATACAAACATTTCATTTTAAACTTGTATACATTTAGTGAGCCTAAAACATATGAGTATGGTGTTTGTGATGCTAATTAGAAAAATGCCATCAATTATGAGTTAGATGCCCTGATTAAAACTAAGACTTGGGATCTTGTGCCTTTACCTCTACACAAGAAGGTCATTGGGTGCAAATGGGTATTGAAAGTGAAGTTATATGCCAATGACACAATTGAAAGATAAAAAAGCATGTTTGGTTGCAAAGAGATTTACACAAACTGAAGGGTTGGATTACATGGACACCTTCATTCCTGTAGTGAAAATGACCACCATTAAGGTTCTATTGGAAATTGCAGTTGTTAATAATTGGTCACTCTTTCAGCTTGATGTTAACATAACCTTTCTTCATGGTGACCTTAAGTTTACATGAAGGCTCTACCAGGCCTTGCATTACCTCAACCAGATCCTGTGTGAAAATTACAAAGATCACTCTATAGTTTGAAACAAGCAATTAGGAAATGAAACACTAAGCTCACTGATACTCACATCTTCTCAGTTTACACTCAGCCCAAGGCTGATTATTCTCTTTTCACCAAAAATTCTCCAAAAGGTTTCTCTATTATTCTGGTTTATGTTAATGATCTTGTTTTAGGAGGAACTGACCTTCATGTAATTCAACAACTCAAAGCTTTATTGGATGCAAAATTCAACATCAAGGACTTAGGAATCCTTAAATATTTCATAGGCTTTGAAGTTGCTTGAAATGCTCATGGCATTTACCTTTGCCAAAGGAAATATGCCTTAGATTTAATCCATGATGCAGGCCTCCTTGGTGCCAAGCCTTTCACCACTTATATGCAAACCTCATCTTCAACTCCACAAACACCTTAGAACTCCAACATATGAACCTACCACATATCAAAGACTCATTGGCTGCCTATTATATCTCACTCATACCAGGCCAAAAATTGCATACACTGTAAGCAAACTTAGTCAATTCCTCGATGCTCCCACTGACAAACACATGTTAGCTAGAATCCATCTTAAAAATAACCCAGACCAAGAACTCTTCTCCAGTTCCATTTATACATTATGCCTCAAAGGTTTCTCAGACTCGGATTGGGGTACTTTCTCTGACACTCGCATATCTACCTTAGGCATATGTTTCTTACTTGGAGAATCTCTCATTAGTTGGAAATTCAAAAAGCATGTTGTGATATCACGATCCTCTTCTGAAGTTGAGTATCATGCCTTAGCTCAAGCCAATTGTGAAGGTGTTTGGCTCATTTACCTCCTTGCAGATTTTCAAATACCTCATCCAATGTCAATCATGATTTACTGTGACAATACACCTGTTATGCATATAGCTACAAATTCGGTGTTTCATGAGAGAACCAAACATATTGAGATCGATTGCCATGTTGTTAGAGAAAAGTTATTAGTCAGCACCATTCATCTCATGCCTGTCACGACCAAAGAGCTAGTATATGATATTCTCACCAAATATTTGCATTCAAGTCCCTTCCACACTCTTCAGGCCAAACTTGGAATGATTGATATCCATTCCAGCTTGAGGGGGCTATTAATGGTAATAAAGATGATGGCAGTGTAGCTAACGCACAAGCCAATGCAACTAATAGTCAAAACAGAAATAACTAACTCTAAGTTAGTTACACTCAAGTTAGTTAGTTGTAAATTCCTTGATATATAAAGAACATAATGCTTATGTAATTGATTGAGATTGATCAATATATTAGCTTCTTATTTCTTCGTTATTGCATGCATGATATTCTCTCTTTCTTCTTATCCAAGTCATAGCCAAAGCTTGTTATTCCCATGGCATGATTTGCATAGCTTGCATCTTCATATTGAGTACACTGAACAAAATGTTGACGGCACATAGTCTGAGTTGAAAGGCATCCCATACAAATCCTCCACAGCAGATGTTTGGCTCTAGATGGCGATATATGTTCCACAAGTTGCCCTAACCTGCCTCCACTCTAAAGTTTAACAGGTTTTTGTTAGACACTCCTCAACAACCTATAAACAAATTTGAGACTATAAACTCCATTTTGTTATACTTTCCAAACCATACAATCTTCTGACACATCTTCCACAAGCGAGACCTTTAGGATTTTGTTGACAACTTCATAGGTAAACAAATGTCTTATTTTCTGAGCATCTCATTGTTTAACATTTGTGAACATAAGATTATTAACAGAAATATCATACACGCCTTGACCTTCTGGACCCCCCAAGCAAACTTCTTTTACACTCTTTTGTCGTGTCATGGCTCGGCCATGACTTTAATCCTACTTTAATTTCCTATACTCCACCCACAACCAAGGATTAAACTTTCTTTGTTTTCCACAAACTTCTCCACACAGAACTTGAATTGTGTCAACATATCATTAATAATATTAACACGCTTAAAATAAAATTAACATTAAATTATTGAAAACAAATTTTCTATCCATCACAAAAAAAAATTGATAATGTATTTCCAATCAATTAGTTAATGATATATTATTTATTATATCTAATTATTTATTTAATAATTCAAATTATTATAAAATACTCTAACCAACTTTTTTTGAAGTGTGTAAATAAAAATTTCTCTAAATTTGTATATTTTAATCAAATTTATATTTCTTTGTTTCTATTTATAAACTCCAATCACATTTCATTTTTATTCCATATGAAACTAAATTTTCTATTATAATTAATTTCAGTAGAGACCAACTATAAATTTAGATGTCCCTTATAAAGATAAAAACAATTATTACATGAATCCCTCTTATAATACAATACAAGTTAGAATTTTGAACAATCACTTTTCTTTCCCAAAAAGAAAATATTTGATATTAATTTGTTCATACTCACAAAACAGTGGTCCCATTAACCGCTAGTTTCCAAACAATCTATGGGGAACAAAAACACTATTTTTTGTCTCACTTTTTTTTTTATTTTATTTTATTTTAATTTGGTCTAACTTTACTGTTGTCAATCAAACAATACCATCTAAATTGCCCATAGTTTTCATACTCTTGATAGATATTTTCTTCTCTTTCTATCACTTTATGTATATAAATATAATAACCTATACAATATTCACTTTTAATTCTATCCATCATCAAAATATTATCCTTTAAACTATTCACAACCCTCTTTATAACCAAGATCATTAAATTCTTCCTCATTTGACTCAACAGATATACTTTTTAAAAATATTTTTTTTAATAATTTCTCAATTCTGGGTATTTCAGTTATTAGTTTTTTTTCTTCCTTTTTTAGCATAAAATCCAACAGTGGAATTAAATTTCATCCAGTGGGCCATTTAAAAAACTTTTTTTTATCAAGTATAAAAGTGTTGAAGGATTGAGATTCAGTTATTGACATAGGAGTTGGAAATTTGGGTCATTGATAATGGAGATAGGTTTGGTTGATAAAGCAAGAGAAAGAGTTGGTTATGTGAAAAGGGCCATTGCTAAGCAAAGGAACAAACCTTATTGTAGAGTTAAGAGACATGTTCCAAAGTCACTTCAGCAGCTATTTCATTCATGCAAACAAACATTCAAAGGCCCTGAAACTGTTCCTGTAACACAAGATGTTCACCAACTTTGTCACATACTAGGTACGATTTCATTTTTATTCATGTCATACATGTGATATTGGTTTCAGATTTATTTTCTATCATGTTAATTTTTTTAAAAAAATTTTGTGGTTAATGATTAGATAATATGAAGCCAGAGGATGTTGGACTTAGCAGAGATCTGCAGTTTTTCAAACCTGGAAATATTATTAAAGAGAATCAAAGGGTCGCATACACCACTGTCTACAAATGTGCCAATTTCTCTGTAAGTGTTTTCGTTAGTCCATACAGAGTTTTGCTCTGGCTTCAATTTGATCTAGGCCGGAGTTGGTTCTTAGATCAGTTAATTTTCGGTTTCGATGACTAATGTGTCCATTTTTTTTAGGTGTGTATCTTTTTCCTACCGGAAAGAGGAGTCATTCCGCTCCATAACCACCCTGGCATGACTGTTTTCAGCAAGCTTCTGTTAGGACAAATGCACATTAAGTCTTACGATTGGGTTGATCCAGAGGCCTCTCACACCTCCAAATGTGAGAGCTCTATTTGTTTCTCTTTTACATTCATGGAGATCTGAATTACCTGCATTCGACAGTCTGAGATAATTTATTCAGATTGTCGAATGCAGACAATACAGATCTCTCAAACTGTTACTATTGGTGGCTGAAACGGTAATTCTGATTTTGCAGTGAGATTGGCAAAGTTAAAAGCAAACAAAGTGTTCACATCACCATGTGATACCTCGGTATTGTATCCAACAACAGGAGGCAACATTCATGAGTTCACAGCTATAACTCCATGTGCTGTTCTTGATGTCATTGGTCCACCTTACTCCAAAGAAGATGACAGAGACTGTTCATATTACAAAGATTTCCCAAGTGAGTAATTGTTACCTAAACACGTTCATATTATAACAATTGTATACGTCATTAGTGTTGTATCACTGAACATCAATGATGTCTTAAATCATGCAGATGAAGAAGAGATTGGTGAGGTGAAAGATGAAAAGGATAGCTATGCATTGTTAGAAGAAATTGAAATGCCAGAAAATTGTCAAATGGATGGAATTGAATATTTGGGACCTCCTATTGATGAAACAGTTTTTTAGCTTCAAAATGTATTGATTCTATGTAGCATCTTTTACAAAGTGTTCTTAGATATGTATGGCAAGGGGAGCTATTATAATATAAATTATTTTATTTGCCATTGATAATTTTTATGTCATAATTAACTTCTATTATAAATAAATAAAATTAATTTGTTTGTCATTATTAGTTTTATATATAATTTTTTTTTATCATTTAGATTTACACTATCAGTAACTGAGAACGGTTTTATTGTATAAGATTATAAATCTTACATGTGGCATTTTTTAAATGATTCTTTTTGTTGTTTATTTGATATTTAATATATTTATTTAATAATAAAAATATTTACAACAATTTATTTATTAATGTTTCTTCATAAAAAAAAGTTTCAGTTTGACTTTTGAGGTTCGCTAAGAGCATCTTTAGTGGGAGTAAACTAAATGGGTAAACTAAGATACTTTTTGTGGGTCCAAAGTGATTTGTAGGATTTAAAAAATTTAAAGTTGATTTGAGTAGTTTTTACTTTAATGGCGGTTGTTTATAAGAAACCAAAACTTGACCCCACATGGTATTAAATGGTTAATAAAAATCTATTATTTATGTTAAATAATTAATAAAAATATATTATTTATGTTAAATAATGAGTTAGAGTATGTTGGTTGTGTAGAGCACGTGAACTAGTTTTAGAGCATCCCATATGTCATGTCAGCACTACTATAATGCAAATTCTTTATTACTAACGTAAGCTATAAAGAATTTTGGTTTAACAACCCTTCACTAAATTTGCTCTAAATCACCCATCCAAGATGTACTATGTGAAGAGCACAAGTTTAACCCACGTTTTAAAGGTATGGATTAATTTTTGAGACACTTTTAATGTACTAGCCAAAATTATAAAAATATACTGTTTTGGAGATATATTTCTTGATATATGATGATATATATTTTATTTGTTTTTGTGTCACAATTCAATTTTATGAATAAATTTATTTTAAAAATATATCTTTGAAAATTTAATTTTAGAAATATATCTCCAAAAAAATTTTAAAAATATATTTTTGAAATCTAAAAAAACAAAAATATGCTCTTATATTACTTGGATTGGATGGAATATCATATTGATAATGTTTCTACAAATATCTTATTATCTAAATGAAACGGCCTTAATATCCATCGGTGTTAGGGCTTTAATTGTTATCAATTTCGGCAGATGTGAGGAAACACAGGTTTATAAAGTGGCATATGTGAATCTTAGTGAATCTTAGTGCTAACATCACAGGTAAAATTCTTACAAGTTTGATTATGAATTCACCTAAGGTTAAACCTTCTCTTAACGACAAATTTCTCTTTGATAATAAGTTTGATCATGCCACCTAATGAGTGTAAACATGACATTGACTTAACTCAGTTGAAATCGGTGTATTTTAGGAAACTACGAATGCTACTGCAAGTGGCTACACTATTCCTGGTTTTTTAGTTTCCAGAAATACATTTTCGAAAAATTTTCGGAGATTTATTTCTGAAATAAATTTATTCATAAAATTGAGATGTGACTCAAAAACGAATGAAATGTGTGTATTAGGGTGTGTCTGAAGATATATTTCCGAAGACAAGGGACATTTTTGGAATTTTGCATGATGCATTAGAAACAGATAGAGTGTTTTAAGAAACTTTCTAATTTTTATTTTCTGATTAAACATTCATTAACTACAACTGTTCATATTTATTTATATTTCCTGCATCATTTTAATTAAATACTAAAGAAATCAAGAATGTCACATGACAAGAAATCAAGAATGTCACATGCTTTAATGTCAAGAGACTCAAGAAGAGGGCATCCATCAATAATTACAAGCAATCTATTCCCGAGTTACACACTAAAAAATGAATAAGTATGGAACAACTTCCAACTTCTCTCAACATAAATCCTATTTTTACTCAAACAAGTTCAGCGTGAGCCAAGTATAAAATCACAATAAGGGAAGCAAATGGAGGCATGTTACATATCGTAAAAGACTTCACATTGCACCTAGGAAGTAGTTGGATAATGTAGGAAGTTAGGGAAGGGAGACTGGAAGCCAAACTAGAAAGATGACACCCATATACTTCTGGAGAAATATAGAGTAAGGGACATGTACGAAGAGTTCCAAAGATTTGAGAACATAAATGAAGTAATTATTCCTTCTAAAGGAGATAGTAGAGGAAGAAGACACATATTCATAATATTTTTTGATATTATAGATGAAGAGTTATTGGTCACTAAGTTGGACAACTTATTTATCAGTAGGAGAAATATTTTTGCGAATCTTCCCAGGTTTCAAAGAAGGTTTTAGTCAGCTAAGAAGAAAGTAAAGCATCCTCCAAGGAACATGGCAAGGAAGAAGATAACATTGGACCATAAGGTAAAGCCCAGGTTTACTTACTGAAGAGCCAGCCACGTCGGGTGGAGGAACCTCGTATGCTAAAGTTCTTAGATATGAATGAAGAACTTCAAAGATTGAAAAGAACTAAAGTGTTATTTTTAATCTAGAAGATAATGAACTCATCAGATTCAAAAAACCCCATGTTGGTGTGGCGGTAAAACCTTGCTTGACATATAACATGTAAGAAGTGTTCAAAACTAAAGGTTTTTTCTCAATTCTAGTCACTCTATATAGAGAGCAAACTTGTGCTTGCTGAAAGAGAAAGTAGAAGGCGAAATGGATGCTTTTTTGAAGGAGGGAAGGATTTCCTTTATAGACTGGTTCTCCAAGATGAAGTATATGAAACCAGTGGACATGGATATGGAAAGAATCATGTTGTTGTTTTGTTATGATATACTGTGTCAAGCATGGATACCGAAGTTATTCCAAACATTGGTAGCTCCGATGGGGAATTCCTTTGTGCATACGACATCACAAGGAAATGAGCTAAGTTTGATGTGGCGCAGATTCTTGTGAAAACCAGGCTCACTTCCATGGTGTTGGTAGAAGTTCAAGCACAGATAAATAGCATTTCCTTCAGCATTAAAATGATGGAAAAATTACAGTTTCTTTTAATAAGAACACATTCAAGTGACGGATCAGATTTTGATTCGGAGGATTCTAAAGATTCTAGGAGTGAAGATTTTTAAAATTCTCAAAACCTTTGGGAGGAGGACGTAAACGGATTACCAAAGGAGGATATTGGAGACGTGGTCTAGGTGACAGAGATGGCGATGAGTGGTTCCCAAGACACTTTGGATGTTGACAAGTCCCATTTAAAGTTCGCAAATTAAGATGTATTGCTTTACAACAACAACATTGATGGTACTAGGATACAATTTGGTCAGGATTTGATAGGTAGGGTGGAAAAGTTCCCTAAGGAGGTTTCTAATCAAGTTGTACCTATAGCCTCTTTACCTATATCGGACCAAGTAGGTTTGAAAAACACTTTATCAAGGTCAAAATCCTCCAGAAACCAAAAAGTATGTCACTTATCTAAAGATGGTTGTGTGGGCTCTCCTTTGGTTGATTTGGACTAGCCCAGACTTAGTTAAATTGGGTCATCTTTGGATATGTGCCTCCAAAATGTTTCTTTTAAGCTTGTTAGTCTTCCATCATTGGTGGCCTAACCGAAGCGGAAAATTAAGCTGATGGGGGATTTAGGAGAAACATCAAAGAAGGTTTTAGAGTATCCTATTTCTTTGAAGTCCAAATCCATTTCTTTCGCAAATCCTTCTTATTTCTCCTCCCTCATTCCTCCTAAACCCATAAAAGCAATCAATTTCTCTCTTACTTCACGTTCTCATTTATCATCGTCTATAATAGACAAATCCTTAGGTGGATCAACTATTTGTTGTGAATTGACGCCGGATCTGGATGTAGTTTAAGGTAACACAAGATTTTAGGCAAAGGAAGACGAGGATTCAGCTATGTTTAGAAGAAAGTTTCGGAGATTGGAATTAGAGGCCAATATGATGATAGAGCATATGTGGAAGAAATTAAGAGAATGGAGAGTATAGATCATGGGAGAATTAGATAGAAGGAAGATAACTCAAAAGGTGTTAAAGAGATTATTTGGAGCTCTGCGCCTGCCAAAAGTCTTGGGCTAGACTGATTTAATCTGAACTTTTTTTAAACTTGCTAAAATGTTATCAAATTTGATCTCTTTGGATGCATCAAATAATTATTTCACACAACTCATCTCCCAAAGGCTATTTTAGCAATGTTTCTTGCTCTTATCCCTAAGAAGCAAAACCTATATGATCTTAACAATTATCAAACTATATGCTTGATTAGTAGCATTTACATAATCATTTTAAAACTCTTGAAGGGCGTCAAAAGTAATTTATTGGTAAGCTTGCTTTGATTAAATAATATACATTTGTCATAAATTGCAACATGCTTGGTGGAGTAATTGTTATAAACTAACGTGTATTTCTTTTCTCATGGGGGGAAATATTGGAACAGATGTTGAGGATAACATGTACAACTGGTCTATGATAGATAGCAAATTTTGGGGACAAATGTCAAACATGATGTCTAGGACATTGTATACCTGTCAGTAAAAACAAGTTCCACTACCAAGTTATATCAAATTAACTTATACAAGATGATGAAGAAGAAGAGCAATAAAGAATACAATAATTGTTAACCTAGTTCATTGTAAACTGCACCTACATCTGGGGGCACTATAAGTAAGAAAGAAAATCCTCTCTTCTATAAAATTAGTACAAAGTGTCTTAGATTAACAAGTCCATTGTTCAATGCCTCTCTTCTTAATTCTACCATAGTTTCTTTCTATTTAGAACTCCCCCTAATGTGATAACCCCCTCCCACTTTCTCTCAATCAATAACCCTATTGATCAATAACAACAATAACTCAAGAAAATTGATCAATATTGAATTATAACTCAACTAAATAAACCAACCCCTATGCCTTATGATATTAATGAAGCAATATCATGGTGTACAAGAAACAACAAACAAAATACTCAACAAAAATCCTAGCATAATGAATATTCACAACATGCACACTTAAAACATGAGGTTTGAGTCTC